CTCTTAAGTGATACAGACGGATCACTTAATCGACCAGAGTAAAAGCAAAGAATCGCTTAAGCGATACAGACAGATCTCTTAACCGACTGTGTAAATACAGAGGATCGCTTAAGATATCCTATGTATTCGGATATTATTTATTGTATTTCAGAGCGTCGGTTAAGCGATTAACGCTATGCTAAACATATAGGGTTTACGATTCGTTTAGTGGACTATGACTGTTATTATAGTTATATTAAACATATAGTTCTTTTACATCAGTATGAAACATATAAGGTGTAGAATGTTTACGTCTATGCTAAACATATAGGGTTTACGATTCGTTCAGTGGAGTATGACTGTTATTATATTTATATTAAACATATAGTTCTTTTACATCAGTATGAAACATATAAGGTGTAGAATGTTTACGTCTATGCTAAACATATGGGGTTACAATTCGTCATGGACTATGACCGTTATCATATTTATATTAAACATATAGTTTTTTTATGTCAGTATGAAACCTTAAGGTGTAGAATGTTACGTCTATGCTAAACATATGGTTTACGATTCGTTCAGTGGACCATGACCATTATTATATTTCAAAAGTAACCATGGAATCTATTGAACATATTTTCTTCTTCTTTGTTCAGAACATAAAGGGTGGCTTTGGTTGAATATTCCTAAAATATTACAATCCTATCCCAAAATATTTCTTTGTTTAATTATTTAGGAATATTAGTATTTTTTTAATTAATTTTAGACCCATTAAGTGAATTAATTTCATTATACCACCTGAAAATTTAAAAATTAACAAACACCAACTTCCCAGATTCTGGCTACCACCGACGGCTACAAACGATAGAAAAGGGCCAGTAATTCACAAATGTGACATTTTCCCAGATCCACTGTGGATCTGGCAGGAAGAGGCCACATCTGGCCGTCATCACTTTCAAAGAAATGGCCGACATTGACGATCACGCGGCCAATCTTGGGCATCGTTGATCGAAAACGATGGCCATATATTTGGTGTCGCAGACAGCCAGATGTGGACTTTTTCGTCCGACGCGCCAGATCTGGCCTTGATTTGGCCTTTTCTGGCCACATCCTGGTTGATCTGCCAGAAAAGGCCATCGATGCCCTATCCGCCTGATCCGACCGTATGGCGTCGTAACGCCCATTCCTGGTAGGATTATGGCTGTGGCTAGAATCTGGCACCGTGGGTAGGTGGGGGTGTTTGTTAAATTTAAATTTTTCATTGGTCGATTAAGCGATCGTACTAAAGAACTTCTTTTACATAGGGTCACTTAAGCTCCGAGATATCGCTTAAGCTATTCTTGTCTTTTTGTCTTGGTCGATAAGCGATCGTGGATCCTTAAGCATCATGTGATTGGCAGAATCAAATCTGCTTAGGTCATGATCGCTTAAGCAATCCGAGATATCGCTTAAGCGATTTTATCTTTTTGTCTTGGTTGATTAAGCGATTGTGGATGCTTAAGCGATCGTGTGATTAGTAGAATCAATATCTACCTAGGTGCACAATCGCTTAAGTGATCCGGTATATCGCTTAAGCGATCCTGTTTGAAAAACCCTTTGTTGTTTAAGTGATATACTTAGTCGCTTAGCGATCATAGGCAATATATATTTTTTCCAGCTTTTCTCCTAATTTTGACAAACTAAAATTACCACCATTATTAATTCCATACTTTCTCCTCAATTTGACAACCTAATTCCAAACTAAAATCACCAACAAATATTTAGGCCATGTAACAAGAATATAAAGAATGGTTATTAAAGGTATAAAATTTAAAACATCAATAATTAAAACAATAACTCATCAATGGTGTGCCTTCGCAACTCCCTGAATTCATCTTCTTCGAACCTAATTTTCTGGATCTGCATGTGATTACTTCTGGCAACTGTTCTCTTGTGGCCAGGTTGCTTCAAATTGAGCACTTATTCATCTTCCGAGGAACCTCAGAGGCTGATGGAATACGCTTAACTCTTTTTCTCCCCTTTACTGTCTTCTTGATGGCAGATGGTGATAATGTCAGCCAACTCTGCAACACTACTCACTACTCACTACTCTTCTAGAGCACTGATATATTGTTTTTGAATAAGCTAGCATGTAGTGATCTGCCTATAGAGAGGAGAGCAATTTTCTATGTAAATTCTTGAACCAAAATCTGGCTTCCGTTGTGTTTCAGTGCTTAGTGCATGAGATAGGTAAACGTTGAATGTCAAGCACTTTACAGCTGCAAGTTTTACTAACAAGGTTACTAGGCATCGGACCATAGCCGCGCACAGTGAACTCTTGAACATTAAGAGGATAGGCAAACAGTGCATTTGACAGTTCCATACTTTCTCGCAATAATTTTTTAGCTGACGGAACAAAGGTTGTAGTAAAATTATCTGATTTCGTACAATGCTTATGGAACCACCGTGACAATGTCCTCTGGATTGCATCAAAAAGTGCAACTATTGGAAACTCTCTTTCTATTACAACTTCGAATTTATGGACTTCGCTATATTCGTGGTCATGACATCAAACCTTCTTCCAGGAAAGTAACTCTACTCCATCGCTCGAAACCAACATCATGCTCAAGATACTTCCAACTCTATCATCCTTGATTCGGATTTGCTGGAAGTGCTCCTCGAACTCATCAACCTGATAGTTTTTGCTGCCATGTAGTATGTCTGAAGAAGCTAGCACACTTAAACTTTTGTTTTATGTTCTCACCAAGGTGCCTCATACGAATCCGTGATGTGCTTGACGGTAAATAGTGGAAATCCCCTTCTTTATAAAGTTGTGCCTATCGGATATAATGCACAAATCGTCACTGTCAGGCACTATCGTACGTAATTACTGAAAAAACCAAGTCCACGACTCGTCATTCTCAGAGTCAACCACACACCATGCAACAGGATATGTGTGATTCTCGATGTCCTGTGCGGTGGCCACCAACAATGTACCTCCATACTTTCCTGTAAAAAGCAACCATCACAAACACACCCTTTCTCATGTTTACAAACCTCTTATAACGGAACCGAAAAAAACAAAAAAATATTTAACATCATATTCCTGTCCCACTTCAAAGCCGTCTTACTACCTTGGTTGTCACTCAAGCATATAACATACGCTTCTAATATGCGTACCCGGTGCTCCGCGTGCCCCTCACAAAATCTTGTGCATGTTGTCTCCCTTTCCACATTTCCGGTAACTAACAGCACATCCCAACTCATGCCACAGTCTCTGAATGTCTTTAGGAGATGTCTTTCCCTTCAACGACCGATTTTTACAAATTGTCCAATAACATCAGGCGACGCTTATCAATGCTCACTTAAATATGTCACAAACCACACTGTGTGCTCACGAGTATATGTGCTAAGAATAAATTTTTCCAACTCCGCCAACCTTCTACAATAAACCTGCCACTAGCACTTTCGGTCCAACATGCAACCGTCACACCATGAATTTAACTTTTTGGTGATGACTCAAATTACCTCTCACGGCAACAAGTTTTAGCTTCCTCACCACTTCCTCTTTGTTTGTCAAATAAATACCCTATGCGCAACTCCGATCCATCCGTAAACATGAGCTGATTCACTACTACCTCCAATTGTCCCTCTGAACCTACATAAACGACTATAGTGTTCTCTTCCTCACAATCTACGCCTTCTGCATATCTGTATTTAAAGGAATCTCTCCATCTATGGGAACATCTACGGGGTCTCCTCCTCAACATTTTCATTCTGCCCCCTACACTAACCTCTTCTACAGTATCCTCCTCACCACCCAATTCCACCGTCTACTCTTGATTTTTCAACTAACAAATCAATGGCCTCGTAGTTCAAATTAAAACCAGTCAACCTCCGCCACTTCCTTGTTATCCCCTTCCTTTGAACCAACTTCCAACGGTTTTTCTACAAAAGAAACCCTTAAAATCGGTGTCGAACCATTATCGGCCACATCAATCATATATAACTTCACACTATTTATCCAACTTTAATATAGCAGGAGGTACCTTATAATGTTTAGGAACTCTGCTTAAAACATATTTCACAACTATATCACTACGCGAGCAACTCAAATTACCTCTTCTAATTATTTCATCAATCAATTCATCAAAACTAACCTCTGTGCTCACAGCAATTGGTATAACTTCTTTGCTCTTCCCAATCCACTTCCAGGTACTTTCTTCCTCCACCCACTCACCAAAATATTCAACACCCAAAACAACTTGTCTCATGTGTAATAATAGCCATCTACCTATAATGCAAGAAAAAAAAAATTCTTAATTGCTGTAGTAAGGGTTCAAATATTTTAAAAAGAATCTGCGCAGTCGCTTATATGGTCTGGTGTATCCCTTAAGCGATCATGGTTATTTATACTGGATCGCTTAATGATCGCTTAAGCAATCAAGTGATCTTATGCCATTTACTGATCGCTTAAGCGATCTGTTCCTATACACCAGACTTTTAGCAGATCGCTTAAGCGATCTATCTGCTACATTACCAGACGTACCAGATTGCTTAAGCAATACACCAGATCTCTTAAGCGATCCATCATACCTAGAACACATACCCAAAACAAATTTTCAGCATATTTCACTCCTTTCAACTTCCATTACATGAAACATAGCCCAACAACCAAATCAAAATCATAACCCTGATATTTGCAAATCGAAATATGAAATCGAAAGGGAGATACACATACCTGGACGAAATGTCAGGAGGAGGAGGAGGAGGAGGAGAAGGATCTGTGTTGGAGAAGAAGATGTTAATGGTGGAGGAATGCGTTAACATGACGGGAGGAAGAAGAAGAAGGTGTTTAGGTTTATTTGCAAGAATTTCGACTCTTTATGGATATATTATAATTTTTAAAAGATTACATAATTATTCATTAATCTTAATTAACCCATAATCATATTTAATTAAGTTTAATAAAAAATAAACCTATTTAGTTAACATTTACAAACTATATAGCATTTTAATTAAATTTTAACTCCAAATGCCTTTTTAATAAACTGCCCCATGAGTCTGTGTAAACCAACAGCCAGAGGCGCCATGCCCGCAACATAATATGCACAACTACAGGCTCAGAGCTTTACTCTCGGGCTCTATACGCTCACTCTCTAACCCCACCAATCGTCGCTTACTTCACTGCTCTCCTTCTAGGCCGAATGCCAACGCCTTGTTTAACTTACTTGCGCTACTTCCACTTTCTGCACCAAAACGACGCCGTGGCTTCTGCGGCTACGCTGCCGAGCAGTTCTCCGACGACGAGTACGAGTGTGACTATGAAACCCATCAGGTATTTTCTGTTCCGGGTCTTTGTTTAATTTTTGTTTTCAGTTTCATTTTGAAGTAAGAACAACGGAAATATCTATTGTTATTAGAGTTTTGAATTGGCCAATTTGCGTGATTTGAAAATAGAGAGACTTTACTTGTAGTGGAGGATTATCATATTTTTTATAAAACTTGTTTTAATTGTTTATGGCTTCTTTGTTGAGTTTGTGAAATTGGAATAAGAAGAACAAATTTAACTTTATTGACAATTTTTGTCTCTGCGATATCTGGTCTAAATCTGTTTGGGTGCTGAGAAAGTGAGAGTATGTATTGTGTAACTAGAAGTTTGAAATGGCCGACCTGGTTTGGAAAATAGGTGGAGAAAAGGAGGTTTTGATTAAATTTTATGGAAGAAATTCCTAAAGAATTTCATGATGGGATTTAGAATCTCTCTTGCAGATTAGGCTTGTGATAAGTACATGAAATTTCGAGAAAATTCTCCAATGATTTTAGGGAAAGCTTAGTTTTGGATGAATTTCAAAACTTGTGAGGCTTGCTTTGGTTTTTGCCGAAGCTGATGGGTGTGTTCAGTTAGATTTTTCCTAGCACGTTTGGTCTCTGTACTTTTTTGGAAAATGTAAAACTCTGCTAAGCTATGTCAAATAGTTCAATTAGGCATGTAAGACATCAAATATTTTATGGATACTACACGTGATCAATAAAAAGAATTTTGGTGTGACTCAGGGGAGATAAATTTTATTTTATTTTTTTAACGGAAGGTGGGAGTTTAACTGCATTGAAGTTGGTTCCTTTTCCTTTTACCTTACCAAAGTTTGGTGTAAATGACTATGGGAAAGGTTTGATCCTAATTTCTAGTATTTGATCATAGGCGTCATCAACGGTGGCCAATATTGACGAGTGGAAATGGAAACTCAGTGTGTTGTTACGCAACGAAACTGACCAAGAGATCATCTCCAGAGATAAAAGAGATAGAAGAGATTATGAGCAGATCTCAAATCTTGCTAAAAGGATGGGGCTTTACAGGTACATAACTGCCATATGCCTTTTTTTTTTTTTCTCTCTCTCTTTTTCAGTATTTTGTCAACCGGTAGAGATGATAATTTATGTGTCTTGATCACTGAGTGATTGTATGTTATTTCACCTTACATATTATTTGTTGCTGTGACAGTCAAATTTATGGAAAAGTAGTAGTTGCGAGCAAGGTTCCTCTTGCTAATTACCGGCCGGATTTGGATGATAGGCGGCCACAAAGGGAGGTAATGGTTTCTGGAAGGTCTTGAAAGCTTTCAGTTCTATATTGCGAAGGGTTTTTCTTTTTCCTTTTTTTTTTCTGTATCTGAAGAGTTGACTTTTTGATGCTTCATTTGTGTAGGTTGTGATCCCCCTAAGCTTGCAGAGGAGAGTCGAAGGTCTCCTGCAGGAGCACCTTGATAGAATTCAGTTAAGTTCCGGAAAGGTTACTGAGAGTTCAGATGAATTGAAGTCCATTGATCGGGTTGAAGATGTGAATCTGGATGAAAATCCAGATTCTTTCCTCGATCGGTCTGTTATGGAGAAGGTTCTTCTGAGGAGGAGTTTGCAAATGCGAAATATGCAAAGAGCTTGGCAGGTATGGTTCTGGTTACTTTTATGTGCAGCGTGTAATATTTCTATTGTGGCGCCATATGACACATTGAACTTCTTTTGTCATTTTTTCAGCTTAAGATACTTAGCTGTAGCAACTTTTTTCTTTGTGACCACTTCTGACCACTTTAATTTTTATAGATGTTGCGAATTATTTGTTTTTTCTTTTCTTCAAGAAAGAAGTAAAAGGAAAAATGGCTATAGTTGGTTACAGTAGATATATGTTCACACAAGTCTTAAATATGAACACTCTCCAGAAGTTACGATTGTTTTACAGAATTTTTTGAAAAAAACCTAGTATTAACTCTTTATATTTGTTATAATTTTTGTATCCTATTCCTTTTATTTAAGAATGTTACAAACAAAGAACTGATTGTAATTTTCTTATATTGTATTGATAAATTATACATCAATATATAAAAAAATAAAGAACTAATCTAGGAAACAAATAATTTAATCTAGGAAATGAATAATCTAACTTCCTATTTTACAGATTTGTTCCTAATATATATTGATTACAATCCTAATATCCTATTATAGATTTATATACTTAATCATGCAATACTGTAAGATTTTGCATGATTATCTACAACACTCCCCCTCAAGATGGAGCATAGATGTTAATCATACCCAGCTTGTTACAAATATAATCAATCCGAACCCCATTCAAAGCTTTAGTGAAAACATCTCCTAGTTGCTCTCCAGTCTTCACATATCCTATAGAGATTAAATCTTACTGTATTTTCTCACGAATGAAATAACAGTCAATTCAAATGTGCTTAGTTCATTCATGAAATACGGGATTAGAAGCAATATGAAGAGCGGCTTGGTTATCACACCACAATTTCACTGGCAAAGAGGCCATAAGACCAATTTCAATCAAAAACTGATATATCCATATTACTTCACACACAGACTGGGTCATAGCCCTATATTCTGATTTTGCACTAGATCGGGACACAACAGTTTGCTTCTTACTTTTCCATGAGACCAAATTTCCACCAACAAAAACACAGTAGCCTATAGTGAATCTCCTATCTATCTTGGAACCTGCCCAATCTGCATTAGAGAAGCACTCAATATTATGTCCATGATTTCCGTACAAAATACCACGTCCTGGAGCTCTTTTCAAATAACACAGAATTTGTTCTAAAGCTGCCCAATGGTCAACTGTAAGAGAAGACATGAATTGACTTACTACACTGACAAGGTATGCAATATCAAGATGAGTGACTGTTAAATAGTTCAACTTTCCAAGCAGTCTTCTATACCTCTTATGATCTTCAAACAGTTCACCATCTTTGGTAAGTTGCGAATTAGGAAACATTGGCGTACTGCATGGCTTAGCATTCAATTTTCCTGTCTCAGTTAATAAGTTAAGTACATATTTTCTTTGAGAGAGGAAGATGCCTTTCTTACTCCTTGTTACCTCAAACCCCAAGAAATACTTCAACACTCATAAATCTTTTGTATGAAACTAGGTGTGAAAAAATGACTTAAGTAATGAAATCCCTGTAGTGTCACTCCCAGTGATGATAATGTCGTCAACATATACGACCAGAAGAATAATGTCAACTGTTGATTGTTTGTAAAAGACTGAGTGATCAAACTTGCTCTTTGTCATTCCGAACTTTTTAAGTACCTGACTGAACTTTCCAAACAAAGCACATGGACTTTGTTTCAAACCATACAACGATTTGTGAAGATGACAAACTTTCCCATACTCCCCCTGATCAACAAACCTAGGTGGTTACTTCATATAGACTTCTTCCTGAAGGTCACCATGTAAAAAGACATTTTTTATGTAATGACCAAGAATGAGTAGCCGCCATAGAGATAAATAAGCGAGTATAAGTCAATTTGGCCAGAGGGGAAAAAGTGTCAGAATAATCCACTCCATAAGTTTGAGCATAGCCTTTAGCTACAAGATGAGCTTTAAGCGTAGCCACTGACCCATCAGGATTTACTTTAACATTAGACAAGAAATTATGGACTGATATGTTGAAAAAAGACTAGGATTATCTGTCATATGATCTGTGGCACTAGAATCAATGACCCATTTGGAAGATGAGGAAATAAGATATGTATTTGGTTTACCTGACTCGACGAGAGCAGTGATGGAAGTAGATGAGGACTTCAATGATTCTTGATACTGAGAAAACTTGGCAAACTCATCAGTTGAAATATAACCGTCTTCTCAGAAGTATCCGTAGCGGCAACATGAGCTAACTGAGTTTTCTGGGCCTTATTTTGCAACTTTCTACACGTGCGCTTTGTATGACCGGGTTCATGACAGTAGTAGCACAAAATCCCTCCTAACTCCTGACTCCTATTATCACGATTATTCGAACCCCCTCCTCTATTATTGCTCCTATTATATAAACGTTCGGTGTCATTATTCTGACTTACAAGAGCACTACTCGACTGAACAGATGGAGTGCTTTTTGTATGAAAAACCCTAGTAAATATGTCTTGGAGGGAGGTGATCTCAGAACTGGCGAGAACCTGAGATTTAGCAGATTCAAACTCAGAAGGGAGTCCAGCTAGGAAACTCATAATCGCTATTTTCTCTCGTTGAGCTTGTTGAACTTTCACATTAGCACTCACCGGTAAAAAGACGTTATGTTCTTCATATATCCTTTTAAAGTCCATAAAATAGGTTGTAAGAGACCTATCTTGTTTCTCAGCTTGATAAAAGGCTTTGCATACATAAAAAATACGAGAAACATTCCCTTTCCCAGAATACAAAAAATCTAGATAGTCCATCAATTCTTTCACATATTCACAATGATTAATTAAACCAAGTAGCTCACTGTTGATGGAGTTCCGTATCTGCAAGAACAACCGGGCATCCTCTCTCAACCATGTTTGCTTTGAATCGTCTTCAGACGAATCTTTTGTGAGATGATCATCTTTACCAATGCTTCGCANCGTCGTAAGATCCTGAAACAGGCAATGATCAGGGAAAAATGAGATGCAACATTTAAGAGCACGAGTGAGTTTACTCACAGAAATTAAATTAAAAGCGAACTGTGGTAGACTCAATACAGAGGATAGGGAAATTAACGGAGTAGGGTTAACAGACCCAGACCCAAGAACACAAGAAGTTGATCCATCAGCTAAAGTAACATTTGACGAGGAATTATGTGACTGATATGAGGAAAAGAGACTAGGATTACCTGTCATATGATCTGTGGCACCAGAATCAATGACCCATTTGGAGGATGAGGAAATAAGACATGTATTTGGTTTACCTGACTCAGCGAGATCAATGATGGAAGTAGATGAGGACTTCAATGATTCTTGATACTGAGAAAACTTGGCAAACTCATTAGTTGAAATCATAACCTTCTTTTCAGAAGTATCAGTAGCGGCAACATGAGCTGACTGAGGTTTCTGGGCCTTACTTTGCAATTTTCTACACGTGCGCTTTGTATGACCGGGTTCATGACAATAGTAGCACACAATCCCTCCTGACTCCCGACTCTGATTCTCACGATAATTCAAACCCCCTCCTCTATTATTGCTCCTCTTATATGAACGCCCAGTGTCATGATTCTGACTTACAAGAGCACTACTCGATTGAACAGATAGAGTGCTTTCTATACAAAGAACCCTAGTAAATATGTCTTGGAGGGAGGTGATCTCAAAACTAGTAAGAACCTGAGATTTAGCAGATTCAAACTCAGAAGGAAGTCCAGCTAGGAAACTCATAATCACCATTTTCTCTCGTTGAGCTTGTTGAACTTTCACATCAGCACTCACAGGTAGAAGAATGTTAAGTTCTTCATATGTCTTTTTAAAATCCATAAAATAGGCTGTAAGATACCTATCTTGTTTCTCAGCTCGATAAAAAGCTTTGCATACATAAAAAATTCGAGAAACATTAATTTTCCCAGAATACAAAAAATCTAGATAGTCCATCAATTCCTTCACATATTCACAATGATTAATTAAACCAAGTACCTCACTGTTGATGGAGTTTCGTCTCTGTAAGAACAACTGGGCATCCTCTCTCAACCATGTTTGTTTTGAATCGTCTTCAGATGAATGTTTGGTGAGATGATCATCTTTACTAATACTTCGCAAATAAAGACGAATTGTCTTACTCCAATCAAAATAGTTATCAGACCCATTAAGCTTATGTTCCGTAATTTTTGACATTACAGGAACCATATCAATTATAGACTTGTCAGTCATAGTAAGAAGACGAAAATAGCCAACAAAAACTCTTTCAAAGAACGAACTCTATATCAACAGAAACCAACAAAATAGATACCAATAGAAACCAACAAAACTGTTCTGACCTGGTAGAGAAACTGAAGAACTAATCACACAAACTTGCCAAAAATAACAAGATGAAGCCGGGAAGGGTGATCGAAGCAAGTTCCTCTGTCGCACGCACCCACATGCGCCAGCGTGTGGATCTAACGTAGATGAAAAAGGGTGGCGCGTGAGACTCACGCGCTACTCCTCCGGTGACCCGACTTCAGGGAAAGGTCGACTGGCAGACAAGGCTTCTTCTTAGGCAGGCAGTGAGAAAAAATGGCCACTCTCCAGGGTGACTCACAAATAATGCTCACTTGGGTAGAAAAAAAATGAATTGAAAAAAAAAACAACCTAGAATTGCTCTGATACCATGTTACAAATAGAGAACTAATTGTAATTTTCCTATTTTGTATTGACAAATTATACATCAATATATAGGAAAATAAAGAACTAATATAGGAAATAAATAATCTACTCTAGGAAATAAAAAATCTAACTTCTTATTTTACAGATTTGTTCCTATTATGTATTGATTATAATCCTAATATCCTATTATAGATTTATATACTTAATCATGCAATATCTATAAGATTTTGCATGATTATCTACAACAGTTCCCTTTCTTAGGTTACACTCCGCTTGGAAGAGCTACAATTATTTTGATTACAGTAGGAAGCCAAATCTACTCCTAAACTAATAGATCAAAAAGAGAAGTCACATAAGAAAAGTGTTAATGGAAAGAGAAAAACAGATTCAAACATGACTGAAGAACAGTCTCCAGCTAAGTAGCAGAAAAATATTGCCCAAAACCCAAACAAAGTTCATGGGAAAGAAAAGGTCGAGCACAAAACTTAGCTGAAGAAAACGAAGTAGAAGAAGCAAAAGCCAAGTTTGAAGAGCATCCAAATGACCAGCACATCAAAGACTCCATCATTGGAAGAGCCAAAGGATACACTGACGAGTGTATTGCATTTTTATCAAACCTTAACTTCAGGACAAGTAGAGATTCTCTCGCACTTCAAAGAGAGATTGCTTTTTATTCCTTTTTAACGCTGGACAAGAAAATATAGAGAGATAATTCTAATGGTTATAATTTTTTTTCAGGCAACTTCTGAAGATCTGAAAAAATTCTTTAGCGATGTTGGTAGGGTTGAATCTGTTCGAATTTTGTAGGACAAGTTCATCGGAAAGTAAAGGGTATGACTCTCTTTCTCTTATTCATTATTTGTCAATGTTCTTTGTGCTTTATGCTTCAAATGAAAAAGGGGAAGCTATCCACTGGACCTTCCATGTGCACATCAGTGTTACGGTCAAATCCTTATTTAACATTGCCTGACCTTTAAACTTTAACATATGTACGCATAATGTGGACTATACCACACAAATTAGACATAAGAAACTAATTTTAATAAGACTGGGAGATCAGCAGGGTTGATGCTTCGGGGAGATAAAAACTACTAAATGCAGTCCATTCTCTTTGATTTCTTCCTTTCACGCAGTCAATAAATCATTTAGTTATTGTGCTTTTGGTTTTAAGATGAATGTCCTTGCCAGAGACGATTACACAGTCTCAAATAAAACTGCTGAAGGGTTGAATTCCATAATTATGGTAAAATTGTTGAATTTTCTAAGTATAAAGAGTCTAACTGTCTAAGAGCATATTTTTTTCATTTTGATAGCAAGTGATATGGTTAGGAGATGCAACCATAGTCCCATATAGATTTACCCATATTCCAGCTTGCCTTTAACTATAGAGCATATGTCTGGGACCGTTGCATACTAATTTATAATATCCTCTGATCGATTTTTGAAGGGCCTGGCATATGTGGATTTTGCCGATGATGCACACCTTGCTGCAGCTGTAGGAAAGAACAAACAAATGTTTCTTGGGAAGAAGATAAGCATTGCAAGATCAAATCCGAAGCAAAAGAGAAAGGATTCTGCTAGTCATGGGGCCTCTAGAGAACATGGTAGGCTAAGTGGAATTATGTTTTATCTTTGTTATTACTTGTGTGTGTTTGTTTTTGTCCAATGCAGTCTATAGACGTTTGTTATTACTTCTACATTTCATTTTCTTACTCTTTTGGGTTAAATGGCAGTGCAAAGTAGTAATCAGACTTTCAGGGAGTCTAGAGTGCCACACTCTGCTGCTAATAAACATAGTGATAACATTCAGCTGAAGGGGAGGAACACATTTGCAATGCCAAGGAACGTTAGCACTTGGTGTCCCCTCGACAAATTCAGAAGCCGGAGAACTGGAAGATGAGAAGCCGAAGTCAAATAATGGGTTCAAAGAAATGATCTTTAAGAAGTGAGGTTTGTTCCTGAGGTTACATGTTACATGTTAACTAGAATAGCACAGTAATTAACAAACTTCTCTTTCTTATAAAAAAAACATAAGGTTTCACCTTAATATGTTTCTGTAAACACAATTATGACAAATGATACCTGTTTGAGGACGAAAGATATATATCAGTACCCTTCTTGTAAATTTTCTTCCAAACATGTCAAGTTTATACCCATTTTATTCAAAAAGCGTAAAGTTCTAATATGTTTCCTGTGGAGCACTTATTTCATCCAATTTGTGATGAGGATATCCTCAATACCTTACCCCAAGATTTAGAGAAATTTTAGTCAATTAGATGGCGATCAAGTTCCTTGTTATGTGACAAATGACCAATGGTATAGGATCCAACAAGATGATGAAAACTATTATAGGTTGGTGGTCTATTCTTGGTCTAAAATAACATTGAATACTCACAGTGCAACTATTAGGTTCTTTGCTTTTCTGTACCTATTGATTCTATTCTAGCGGAGAATCCATTTTACAATTTGTCATAGACGAAAATCCTAATGCAGAAAGATGGACCAGTAGAGCACTATTGAGTTTGTGTACTGAAACAACAATGGCCTTGCATCTCATGCTTGTGGAAAATGTGAAAAAATGTCTTTGGTCTGGAAAATGTCTGAGGAAGAATATCATTTGTATGCTCGCCAGATTAAAATTTCCACACACATATATTCATTTTTATTGTCTGTTTTGAATGAATATCCATATCTCATATGATTATGTTTGTTTCACTTAGACTCTTCATGATTATATTGGACGCTTTCATAAAATTTCTCGTAGAATCGAGAATGGGGTTTTTGTTTTGTACATGTTAGATCATGAATTAGTACCAATCTTCAAAAAAGATCTAATTGTTTCACTTTCTATTTTCGAAATGGAATATTTACATAATCCCCATGAATAGGATTAAACGTTATTCCATGGTATTTGTATGATATTCTTTCTTAATTTTAAGCGAGTACATGAGATGGTTTAAGTGATCTATGAATTATGTTTCATTTTTTGTTTCTTTTATGCACTAAGTCACTAAGTGCGAGATTCCCCCTGGCGACCATTATTAACTTGTTCCCCCATGGGCTCTTTCCCATGTCGCCTCTTGGAATCAGCTTGTCTTCTAACTTCACGCCCATGAGTCTCATATTTGGAATTTGCTAACCCCTTTCTCATATTTGGAAGGGGTATTTATACAAGTTTACACCAAAGGAAGTGGAGAGAAATCTAGGATTGCCATTAGACTCGGCAAGCAATTTCATGATTTTAGTGATTGCGTGCTAGGATCGCACAAATATTGATTCGTTCTTATCCCTCCTGAGATATTCGAGATAATGCTTATCCCTTAGTCTGTCGAACAGCTGCATTGGATGGTAGCGACGAGATTTTGCTGAGTCTGACTTTAAGATTCCATGACCTTGAGATCACGTCGATCTACTGATTTCCGGGCTACCGAGACTTTCGAGCTTATGATAAAAATCACACACAATAGAATTTCTTGTGGTCTTTCTTGCTTTTAATATAAGTAATCAATTTATGCATGTTTAAAGTTAAATGTTTTACACTTAAATAATATTTTTATAAAGGAGATTAAATTAATAGTAATCATTTTGATTAAGCATTATTGAAGTTATAAAAGTAGTTATGATCTCTATTGATGTAAAAAAAATTTAATCAATAAGCAAACAATGATTATCAATGTTTAACATTAAAATTCATGGATTCCCTTGAAATTAACTTGGCTTCTATGAGCATCGTGATTAAACATTATTAAAATTATCTCATAAAATTTGTGGTTCATAGGATTAACATAAAAACAAAGAGGAGAAGATGAAAAATTTAATCAACAAAAAACAAACGAATGTTAAATAAATACATAATGATCCATAGCATGTCAAAACATTGAGAGAAAAGTTCAAGATTTTGTCTCACATTTCATTAATTCTCTCGCAAAATATGATGCGTTGAGAAATTAGAATAGAAAAGTCTTATAGCTATAAATGTTTTCTCTCTTCTAATTGATTCCATCTATTATTGGAAGTATAATCTCTAATGAACTTCAAATCTGACTTCGCTGTCTCATGGCGCACCTCTAATAATAATCTCTAATAAACAGCATAAAAACTGATCTTGTAAATGAAAAGTTTTAACTAGAAAGGGATATAGACCTAATGTTTGCTACAATACTTTAATCAGATGGTATTGCAAGAATAAAGAAGTCAACGAAGTTCTTAGTCGTTATTAAGAGAAGATTTTAGAAGGAATTAGACCTAATGTGATTATAAATAACAATTTGTTAACTTGCCTTTTTCTTAAAGCTAATGTAAAAGATGCACAAATTAATTGGTGAGATGCAACTTAATGGTTTTACCTTATTCTTTGACACATAGCATATTCATTGATGGACATTGCAAGAATGGATGTGTTTTGGAAGAAGTGGAAATGTTTCATACTTTAGTAAATATTAAGTTTGCAGTTGACCTTGAAAGCTTGAATTCCTTCTTTGATGGATTATGTAAAACAGGGATATCCGAAACTGCTCGGTAGCTATTTTAAAAATTTCTCTCACTGAAAGCCTAGTGCCTAAGAAATTTTGTAACTGTTTTTAGAATTCAGTTTTGATGGATACCATTGTTTCCAAATTTTATAAGCAATTGGGGTCATAATAGAGATTACAATGTTATAAGAAGCACATTCATAACAGAAGCTCTTTATTGAGATAGGTGTATGTGCGACTATCTAATCACTTGATATGTGCTAATCATATATGTTAATGTATAGTGCACATTGTGGATAAGCTAATGTAGAACATTACAATAAAGAAAACGAAGTAGAAGAAGCAAAACCAAGTTTGAAGAGATCCAAATGACCAGCACATCAAGACTCCACCATTGGAAGAGCCAAAGGATACACTAGAGTGTATTGCATTTTTTAAAACCTTAACTTCAGGGAAGTAGAGATTCTCTCCACTTCAGAGGAGTTCTTTTTATCCTTTTAACACTGGACAAGAAATACAGAGAGATAATTCTAATGGTTTTAAATTTTTTTTCAGGCAACTTCTGAGATCTGAAAAAATCTTTAGCGATGTTGGTAGGGTTGAATCTGTTGAATTCAGGACAAGTTTCCAGAAAGTCAAGGGTATGACTCTCTTTCTCATTCATATTTGTCAATGTTCTTTGTGCTTTAGCTTCAAATGAAAAAGGGGAAGCTATCCACTGGACCTTCCATGTGCCATCAGTCTTACAGTCAAATCCTTATTTAACATTGTGACCTTAAACTTCAACATATGTATGCATAATGTGGATGTACCACAAAATTAGCCCTAAGAAACTAATTTTAAAGACTGGGAGATCAGCATGGTGATGCTTCGGGGAGATGAAACTGCTAAATGCAGTATTCTCTTTGATCTTTCAGGTCTGACTTCATTGATTTCTCTTTCATGCAGTCAATAAATCATTTAGTTTGCTTTGGTTTTAAGATGAAGTCCTTCAGAGACGATTATCAGTCTCAAAAAACTGCGAAGGGTTGAATTCCATAATTATGGTAAAATTGTGAATTTTCTAAGTATAAAGAGCTAACTGTCTAAGAGCAATTTTTTTCATTTTGATAGCAAGTGATATGCTTAGGAGACTCAACCATAGTCCCATACAATTTACCCATATTCCAGCTGCCTTTAACTATAGAGCATGTTTGGGACCGTTGCATATAATTATAATATCCTCTATCATTTTGAAGGGCTTGCATATGTGGATTTTGCCGATGATGCACACCTTGCTCAACTGTAGGAAAGACAACAAATGTTTCTTGGGAAGAAGATAAGCATTGCAAGATCAAATCGAAGCAAAAGAGAAAGGATTTTGCTAGTCATGGGCCTCTGGAGAACATGGTAGGTAAGTGGAATTATGTTTTATCTTTGTTATTACTTGTGTGTGTTTGTTTTGTCCAATGCAGTCTATAGACGTTTGTTATTACTTCTACATTTCATTTTCTTACTCTTTTGGGTTAAATGGCAGGCAAAGTAGAAATCAGACTTTCAGGGGTTAGAGGCCACACTCTGCGCTAATAAACTAGTGATAACATTCAGTGAAGGGGAGGAACACATTTGAATGCCAAGGAACGTAGCCACTTGGTGTCCCTCGACAAATTCAAAGCGCGGGAAGGAAGATGAGAAGCCGAAGTCAAATAATGGGTTAAGAGAAATGATCTTTGAAGAGTGAGGTTTGTTCCTGGTTACAGTTACATGTAACTAGAATAGCACAGTAATTACAAACTTCTCTTTCTTATAAAAAAACATAAGGTTTTGCCCAATATGTTTCTGTAAACACAATTATGACAAATGATACCTGTTTGAGGCGAAATATATATCAGTACTTCTTGTAATTTTCTTCAAAATGTAAGTTTATACCCATTTTATTCAAAAGCGTAAGTTCTAATATGTTCCTGTGGAGCACTTATTCATCCAATTTGTGATGAGGTATCCTCAATACCTTACCCCAAGATTTAGAGAAATTTTAGTCAATTAGATGGCGATCACATTCCTGTTATGTGACAAATGACATTCTTGCTTCTTGATTTTATGATAATGAAAATATTGTTTTGGGTCCACAACTCAAGGGTGACTTTCTTCAATTGTTATGTATTGCCTTTTGGATTTGTTGATATATTCTTTTCCTAAAAACAGAGTTATTCAGGACATATGCCATAACTGGTTGCGTTTTGAGAGGGAATATGGGACACTTGAAGATTTTGACCACGTTGCACAGAAGGTACACATTCCTGCTGCAGTTTTAATTTATTTGTT